CTGTCCTTGTGTCAGAAGGAAAGAGCCAGAGAGCTGTCAGAAATGCATGCTGCCTTTACAGCTTCTGCTCTGAACGGGTACCTGGCCACTTCTGTTCCTTGGGCCATCAAGTCAGATGGCCAAGCCTCAGTGGGGAAGTATATCTGCCTGCCTGGAGGCACTGCGGCCAGTCACACGGCCACAGGTTGGGGTGGTGTCATCCTCTTACAGAGAGAGGTGAAGAGCTGGGAACAAAAACACAGTCTATCACAAGTAGTACCGCCTCGTGATGAGAAAAGGTCACTAAGCAACAAGCCCAGCTCTCCACTACGTACCAACAGACCAAGCCTACTACTACCTAAGCCTGAGCCCACTTAAAAATACTTGCTCGCTTTCTCAGCTGTTTTGACACACATTCAGTTTTTAGGGCAATGGCCATCTCTTCAGACCAGCATTGCCATTCGATGCCTTGTTCAATCACACACGCAGTACTGGTGCGTGTCTACCGTACGAGAACGGAAAGTCGGATCGACTGGTAACTTACCAGGCGTGAGGCAAGAAACAACACACGCCAAGTGACAGGTCGGAAGTAACGTCAGACTGATGCCAAATTTAACCGCAACGTGTAAGAAGTCTGCCCGGCGTGGCCAGGGCAGGAAACAGTTCTATCACCAACATGCTCCCCGGGTCAGAGGATGGCTGTGGATGCCCCGAATGACATTAGGAGACGCTGTTGTGCCATTGCTGTGCCTGGGCTATACCTACCGTGGTCTTGCCAAGAATTTGGTTTTAATTTCTTCAAGTGTGCCTTAAACAGTGCAAAGGCACCCACGTAAGTGTCTAAGCCAACTGTCCTCCTGCATTGGCTAAGTGCCTCGTGTCCCACACTCAGCCCCTCCGCTGACCCTCTACGGGGGTCTTTGATTTCCGTTTTCTACATTGCTTCAGCTTCCTAGAAGTTCCACCCCCCTGCCTCATCTGCATTGGGTTTATATTTTTGGACTTTTCTTTTCAGTAAATAATAACTACACTGTTCATATATCCAGAGAGCCGGATGTTCTCATCACCTGTATTTCTACCTTCCAGCTGTGGCTTTAACAAAGTCAGAAGCCCGCTGGGAATTCTGGCAAATGGAAGCCTAGGGACCAGTGAGACAGAGAGCCAGAGTTTATTGGCCCATGACATGAGTAACATCCATGTGAAATATAACTGTGATGGTTTATTACACAGCCAAACCTTAGAATAACCCACCTGGTTGAATGCTGGAATTCAATCCACCCTACCTATTTCTCCCCAGTATCCCCCTTCCATTTACAAAGCCCAGGGGGTTGGTGTAATCCTAGTTTGTGGTGAATTTCAGGATCTCTTCTGTGATACAGAGCATTGTTTTAAGCTAGGTCTTTTGATCCTCATAAAACAGACCAGGATCTTTGGTGCCAGCAATGGCACGGGCTGGGGTTTGGGGGTGGCTGAGGAAGACAGCATAGCTGCCAGTCCTCCTGCGGACAATGTGCGTCAAGCAGATCCTTTCTAGTTGATTCTAGCTTCATTGCAATCAATGATGTGCACCCTTAGGATGAGGTGGGGATTGGAGAGGTCTCGGAGGATGCGGTAATTTACGTGATAATAACTTCTTCCTAAAGTCGGGATTTACTGACAAAAAGGTTCTGTGGAAAGAGAAAAGGCTATGATCCTGGGCCATGGGGGCGTCCTTGAGATTATATCCAGAGAGCAGGGATACCAGTTAAGGCAGCAAAAGGACACAGAAGGTTTGAAGTGACTATGTAAACATCAGGTTTCAAGGTGACCCGGACATTGACATGGGCAGTTAGTTATCTGAGTCACTAGAACATGAGAAATTGACAGGGTTACACAGAAACCATAACAGGACCCTGCTTTGCTTTTGGCATTGGGGCTCCAGCCAATGCACTTGAGTGCAATTCCACCACTGGCCAGTATTTCTGAGTATTATAAACTGTATCTTGCACATGGTTATGCTTTGTGGGAACATTAACATCTCTGAAACAGAAAATTGTGGTTTGGTCTATAATTTGACTGAATTCCTCTATTAGCAAGGGGTTTTAAACTGAAATGTCAATTCCTTCTCTTCTTGAAAACAATACTTTGCTTTTCTACTTACGTTGTACAATTTTAAAAGGTTGGGGATGGATAGGTTCAGTTTGAAGACATTTGTTTCAAACCTCAAAGCACCCTTTGAGAAGTGGGTGATTCCAAGAGTGAGACCAGAGACCACAAGATGAGCCTGGGAAAATGTCACCGTGCTAATGAGCAAAGCGGCATTCTGAAACTCCTAGAATATGGCAGAGGAAGCCCGGAACCAACAAAGATGAGCCTTGTCTGTCCAAAGATGGGGCGATCTAAGCACAAATCAGGATAATGACAACAACTGAGAAGGGCTGACTCATAGTAGGTTAAAACGCAGATGTTAATAATGAGGCTTAAAAATTTTTAAAAAAAACCCCACAACACACAATTCACTGATAACTTTTGCAGAATGCAGTGAACCGACTTGTTATTTTGAAAAGAAAGAATTACACGTTTCCTGCCTTTCCTGTAAGACCTGTATCTCAGAGTCACCAAATGATTGATGGGAGAAGTTAGTCTTTATGCAAGTATTCCAGCAATAAATGACATAATAACGATAACATGGGAATACTGTCACTTGCGACCTCTGATAAATTCATAAATCCAGGCAACGACGGTCAGTGGCAGCTAACATCACAAAAGAAGAAACCGGCAGACATGAGCTATCTCTTAATGGAAATGTACTAAACCAAACTTAGGAAGTAGGATTGCCAAAAGTATCAAACCCAAACTTAATTAAGCTCTAGATCTACCTAGCAACTGACAGGGAACACAAGAGACAGAGGGCCATATTAAAGGATCCCAAGGATGTAATCAACAAAATTTAGACTGCAGAAAAGTCTACAGAAACAGAAAAAAAAAAAGGAAGAAAGAAAAAAAAAAAAACCCTAGCATTCTTTATTCCCAAGGTTGCAAGGAAAAGAAAAGAACAGGAACCTATAGATTAAAGACTGAAGAGGCTTATGAGCCAATCACAATATGTAATCATCAGACAGTGGTGGCTGGGGCACTAAACTCCGCGAGAAACTCATGTCTGGCTTCGAACCTGACTTTCAAATGGAGATCATCTCACTGCTTAAAACCAGAGTTAACATGTTTTGGAAGCCACTGGATCCATCATTCACGATCCTTCCACAAGCACAACCATGTAGAGCATTGGACTACTTCCCCGGGGAAATGTCTCTACAGTGTTTGTGAATTAGAAGTGGGTCAGTGGGTCTATGGGCGCAGCGTTGAACTGGTCCCCCGAGGATGCGCAGAAGTAGCTGGGGCCTCTTAGCAGTACTCACAATAACACATCACATGCCTCGTCAAGTGGTGCCTTCTTCTGGAAGCCATCAGAACACACTGGTTTCTTTCTTTCTTTTTTTTTTTTTCTATTTTTTTAAAACCTTGATGTAGATCTGACAAATGCTTAACGCCAGGACTACGTGTGCAGTGTCTTCAGGATACTGCTGAGCGAGGAGTAAAAATACTTATTGGACTATTAAAACTGAGTGCAGATTATTATACGTTTGATCCTGTTGTGACGGCCAAGGCTAACGGGATGAGAGCAAGGTGTGAAGGCAGTGGATACTTTTTCCCTAAAAGGAATACACAGCCCAAAGGTGCTCAGAGAACCAGGATCGCTTTAACCTTAATGGTTAAAACAGATTTTTTTTCTTTTTATCTTTACCACACATTGTACGATCTGTAAACCCCCAGGTACATCATCACAATCCAGTGACAACTGGTCAACTGAAACCTTTGTAAACATGGAGGCTCCTGCTTGTTGCTGAACATAAGAGTGAAGGAAAAAGGTAGAAATCCAAATATCTCCAACCAAGTTCTGGGGGGTTGGGGAGGTGATAATAAAACCAACGAAGCCTGTTTTCTCTCAGAATGTTCTATCGAAACTGAGTGCTACCAAAAAAAAAAAAAAAAATGTTAGCAACCTAATATTCTTCAAGATTTGTATCTTCCAAAAATTCTTCCCTCACATCCCTTTATAAGAAATCTTCTGTTATTCTATATTCACTTAGTCTCTGTAGTAAAGCATTGCCATGTCTTTTTTTTTTTTTTTTTCAAAATCTTATTTATTTTTGAGAGAGAGACAGAGCATGAGAAGGGGAGGGGCAGAGAGAAGGAGACACAGAATCCAAAGCAGGCTCCGGGCTCCGAGCTGTCAGCACAGAGCCCGACACGGGGCTCAAACCCACAAACTATGAGATTATGACCCGAGCTGATGTCAGACGCTCAACTGACTGAGCCACCCGGGCGCCCACATTGCCATATCTTTTTATATATTATTCTCTAATTATTCAGGTGTGGCTTCAAATATATCTGAGGCATATCGAACCTTCCAAAGAGCAAAGAATAAGCTTTAGTCCCCACCATTTCTTTTAGTGTAATGATACAGAAGCACCCCAAAAGGCTTTGCTGGACAAAGGAAGAAGAAAAAGAAGGGAGGAAGGGAACGAGGCAAGGAGGGAGGAGTAGGCCAGCCAGCATGTGTAAGTCTAAAGGTTGAAAACTACATTCTTGCTCAAGCTCTGATTCGAAGAAACAGTATTTCCAAGACTAAATTTAAAGACAAATCTTTAGACTACACTGAATGTCAAGAAAAGATCTCTAGTTTGTGCAATTAAGATGAATGAATGATTTCATAGTACGGGGCCTACGGTAGGTAAAGGTTAATAATGTAAGTGACAAGGTGCAACTATGAAAATACGGACTAAGTGGCCAGTTGGGCTCAACCTTAATGCTGTCACAGCTTCCAAGTGTGTCTTCTCTAATGCACCTGGTGATTCTCCCCAAGGCGGTTTTTTTTCCTTTTTTAAAGCCAAACTAAAAATGATTTAGTCAGATGTTTGATAATGAGACAAATTAATTCACTCACTTGAATAATATTTGTTACTAGTAATAAATGAAATTACCTCTGAGTAATTTGGTGAGAGATACTTCCCATTGCATTTGGCAATGTTCCTCAGAATTTTTAATGCTTTATCTCCTTTCTTCCGAGTAATCAGCCAGCGAGGAGATTCAGGAACCACCCTGGCAAGAAGACTTTGTTGAGTTATGTCTAGGAATTTCAAAACCTTAACAGTTAATTAACAACCTCGCTTTCCCTCTTAAAATAGAGCTTGCAATTAGATAAAACTTTAGGAGATTCTGAGAGTTTAGAACATGCTCTTTGAAACATAGATTATCTTGGAAAGCTTATAATGGAGGGAAAACATGCTCACTTGATAATTGGATCATTGGTCATAATAAAAACAATCAATATTACATTGTTCTTGTAAGATCAGGCTACCCTAGAATACAGTGTCCTAAATTACACACATGAAAAGAACTGAAATTACACACATGAAAAGAATTCAATGGGCACTTAGGCAGTAAGTGCCTAATCAGTATGTAAACTGATTTCCCCCTATATTAAAATTAAATTAGAGAAATGATCAAAATGTATTCGCTTCAGTAAGAGTCAAATGTATACACCTGTAGCTTTCTGGTAACTTAATTTTCTGATGCTCTCAACATTTTCTTATTCCTCAGAGGATTCCTGAACAATATTAATTTGCGTAATAGAACACACAGGGAAGCAAAGCGATTTCGTTGCATTTAATTTGCATGTTGAAATATCGGCAGATAGGGTTTGTTACCTTACAGTGTTCGTGAAAATATTACAAAATAACAAAACATAACTAATACTCTGGAGTTTTGCGTTTTGGTACTTTATTAATCTATTTTAATGAGAACTATTAGTCAATTAATGACCACTCTCTATAAATTCTCAAACACTCTAGAAATTCTCAAAGCCCATGGCTATTCTGGAGATGTCAGAAAATCTCCTTAATTGCTTTCATTTTCCTGTTGGTTTAGAAAGTGCAGATTCTACATTTCTGTGGAATAAGAATAAATTCAATAATGACCAGAACCACTTTACCAGTAATAAAGGAGGAAGAGAAAGCTGGGCAGCGTTATGGCTAGCTGGATCCCTTGCCAACTGGGGATAAAGTAGGCAATTCCAGGGAGAATTATGATTCCAAGGGTGAAGAACATTTGGACTACTATCCCCACAATTCTCCTTTGCTTTGAACCTACTATTTCTGTTACTGAAGGAAAACAAACACAGAGGTTAGGGAAGCTCAAGTTGAGCTCCAAAATAAACACACAGAGACATTACATCTGTCATATCCATCGGCATTGTTAGAACACCACAGAATTCTCTCTTTCTTTTTTAATTTTTTAAAGTTTATTTATTTATGAGAGATAGAGACAGCATGAGTGGGGGAGGGGCAGAGAGAAGAGGGAGACACAGAATCCGAAGCAGGCTCCAGGCTCTGAGCTGTCAGCACAGAGCCCGACGTGGGGCTCGAACTCACAGACCGTGAGATCATGACTGGAGTCGGACGCTTAACCGACCGAGCCACCCAGGTGCCCCAAGACCACAGCATTCTTAAGGACACTAAAACTTCCATGCCTGCTGGAGCTGGGTTTTCTGCTCACTCTCTTCTCTGCCAGTTATTGGCAGGCACTGGCCACACTCATCTTACACACACAGCCTAGCACTCTTCTCGTTATACAAAAAAAATGTATCTGTTGATTTTAGGAAAGCTTAAATGATGACTATTGTATCAACACAGAAGTAAAATAAACTGGCTAGATTTCTATCACGGTATCTCTAAAGGTTTGCATATTATAGTCTCTTTAGGAGATTCTTTATGAGCATTAGACTCTACAAATGATTTTTTCAAGATCACAAGATAGTTTCTATTACATGATGGTCCTCTCCACAGACTTTCCATGTAGGTGATATCTCTTTAAAAATCAGACGGGGAATTTTATTGCTGGCATCCTTCTCCACCCAAACGAATCCATTTCTATCTGTCATTAATTCTATTCCGATCATCTTGGGATTATGCTACTTGGTTGTGCCCTAAGATCGCAGCTTTGAAAATTCACCTACACTTAGATCTCCTTAGAAATGCTTCATATGCCAAAGTTATCCCTTCTGCCCCAGCCAGCGACAGGCAACTTCCCGACACTCTCTCTCCTTCCCGGCCCATACAAAGACCTTCAGAGGGTCCTTAAGGTGGGCACCGCTTGGGGAAGGATTATCTAGCAGTGATGGAAGGGACTAGAAGCCTAAAGATCTGGAGCAATACTGTAAAAGAAGCTTTTGCCTCTCCCTGGTCACGAATCCACCGTGACCCTTAGAGGAGGTGACTGGTCTGGACATCACTGGCAACAGAGCCCAAGTAGCATCCAGGACTTTTCTCAGTAAAAGGAGCAAACAGCAAAGGGAAGTTTTTCTTTCTAGAAAGGTCAAACTTTCTGGTTACGGAAGTAACAAAGGTTCACAAATGAGCTTCTCATTTTTAGGTCCTATCTCCTTCACAGTAAAAAGCTCTCCACTTGAACACAAGGAATAGAATTAAGAAATATTTGAGAACACAGGAGTGTCGTCTCAAACTACATCCCAGAAATGCACAGAGAATGCTTTAAAAAGGTTTCAAAGAATTGCTGACATTTTTCATAAACGTCAATCTCCGAGAAGGCAAACAATAACTTGTGATAACAGTACAGCAGTTATCTGCAAGAGCGTGGTTCACCCCCGTATTTTGTGATATTCCGTATGTGGCCAGGACCTAAAAATGAGAAGTTCATTTTGCCAGAGTCAGAGTCTCACCGCAGCGACCTTCCTATTTGCAGAGATCATTCGTGTGGCAGCCGCGAAGCCTCATCATACGAGCCCGAGGAGGCTCAGCGGCCGGCACCGCCCGGACACCTGACCCTGGCCGTCAAAGAGACACGGAGCACAGCAGTGTCTTACCGATCACGTAGCAGGTCATCCACGTGCCCTTTCCAAACACACCTTGTAGGAAGCGGAAGGTCACAAACACGGGGAAATTTGGTGCGAACGCCACCACAACACCGGTGACGCCAACACCGAAGCAGGATATTAAGTAAATGACTATCCTGCCGTACCTTTTTGAGAAAGAGAGAGGAAGAAGTCACCTTTGGCATTTTCTCCGACACAGTGAAAAGCACTATCGGTAAGTGTTGTTAGAAGAGGCTTCAGGACAGAAATTTTGTTTTCAATGCTGCATTATTACTACCATGTACAGGATGGCTGAGAATTCTGCGTTTCGTTTTGCAGCAAAACCAGGCAAGTAAGGACATGTGTTCCTGAAATGGCATTACAAAACGCAAGGCACAGAATGCATTTTCGGGGGGACTGCAGTTTCCAAAAAGATGACCCTCTCTATCACATATGGTCGCCCCGGTGGCCCAGCTTTGATACCTTTCTAGCATTTTTGTGGGTGGAGTTGGAAGGAGAAAGGGAGAAAGCCCCAGGAGCAGGCTTCAGTTGTGGCTCAATCATCCACCAACTATGCGAGCTTGGGTCCATTTCTTAAGGGAACCAAGATTCAGATTTTGTTTGTTTGCTTGTTTCTCCCCTCCCTTTCTACAGTGAAGTTGTACAGGCTCAAATGCGATGCTGATGTGAAAGCTGCTTACAAACTCTAAAGTTCACGACCAGGGCGAGCTGTTCTTAAGTTTTGCATTTTAGTCTCACCATTTACGTAGCTGTTACTAAAGGCGTAGGCAAAGGGCACAGGTTACCGTCGTGGGCGATACTCTGGGATTCTGATGCTAAATGGTTCAGTGCAACTGTGCCAGATTACTGGCTGGTGAAAGTCTGTCGTCAATGACCTTTATGAGACTTGATTCAAAAACATTCTCCCATAGAAATTCCCACCAAATTCACTCATGCAGTGTCCTGCTTCGGTCAGCGGAGCAGAGACAGAAGTAGTTCTCATTTATTCAGGTTTTAAAATTCACCGTCTGTCCTTCCTACACTGTCCTCTGGTAGATTTGGGGCCTATTAAATTGTTTCTGGTCCTTTCTTTCAATGATATAAAAGCAGAGAAGGAGCCAAGATGGTTGGCCCTGTGGTGAGGCAGAATCATTCATGGGTCTGTCTTCTTCTTCAAAGCATGGAATCATCAATGAGGACAGGTGCGCTGGCCCCTGCTGGAACATAGGTAGGAAAAGCCCCCCTCCTTTAGTTGAGTTCTTTTGTTTGGGGATTATGTTTATTGACTGTGAGAGAAGAACACGAAGAAGAAGCAAAACCTAATGTTTAAATCAGGAAGAGTAACAACTAAAATGACGAAATACGTGTTGAAAACACATCACTCAATTCTAAGCCACAGCAGCTAGGAGAGAAAGTGATGTGTGGGGAGATTAAGAAAAGAAAGATGAATGGGAAGGGCTATAAGAGGAAACCATAGGAAAAAACACAGATAAAAGACAGGGAAAGAGCATCAGACACAAGGATTAAGGAGAAACTCACATGCAGAAGACGGGGGCAGGGGGCCGCAGGAGAAAAATAAGAGACAGACGAAGGAGCAGAAAAAGAAAACAAAGGTTATACTTTGAAGTCCTGATCCGGCCAAATTCAGATTGTCAACTGGCTAAAGCATTTGGGGCATTTTATTGTCTCCAATTAGCTAATTAATTGCTGTGGGCAGTTCTCCAAGAAGTACCCTTAAGCACTGTGCGCTGTGTGCTGGGTCACAGGGACCCATCAAGGCTGGGCTTAGAGTGACCAGAGCGATATCCAGCCAGACACGGTCAATGGCCAAAGCTTTCCTACCCCTGTCCTAAGGGGTATAGAAGGAATTATTAAATTACTGCATGTATTTTCATAGTTAGAATTAGGATAAAGGAATAGTTAGGCATGGATATAATAACCAACATCAATAATGTCCAAAACAGGAATGTTTGAATAGAAAAATTACTATGTTCAGTATACATACTCACCATGTCTGCCATTAATCTATATCTTTATGAATGTTAAATAATAGATACAATTCTCTTAAAGGTCTTTGGAAAAACTGTGGTTTTTTTTTTCTTGCAGAGTTTTTAACTTGTAGAATAAAATACAAGGATTTCTTTTAAAAAATATAACCGAAACATATTGGGAAGGGGCCGACTCTATGACTAAATTAATCCAGACCACAACCAGTGAGTTATGGAAGCACAGGGAATCAACTCTGTCCGCAGTGTCCAGCCAGCTATCCGTCTGTCCCATGATGAAGTTACTGCCTTGCCGGTGTTTCCGCTAACATGCTTTCAGATCCACGGGGAGTGGTCCCATCCATTTGTCATTTGTACAGTTCAAGGAGTAAGGAGACGCAGTTCAACAAGGAGAGAATTAGTCTAACCAAACAAGTGAGAATGTCACAGGTAGAGAAAATAAGATTCCCCCCCCAAGTTTAACAAAAATTGTTTCCTAATGTTAACATAAAATATTTTCATCCCCACACTTATGCATCATGTCAACGGCTGTCATATTCGTGCCTACCTGTCCGCCGCATAACCCAAGGTGAAGGCTCCGGCCAGGAAGCCCAGGTTTAGGATGGCTTGTGTGAGGTCCAGCATCCAAGCATTGACACACACGAGGTCAAACTGGGAAAACAAAGGAAACGCATGGGAGTCACGTGACCATGCTTATCCTCAAGACATCTGGTCTTCTGTCTAGATCTGTGATCGTTAAACATTTTTGCCCAAACACTCCTTACATTTTTCAAACGTTTCACATGCATATTTTTATATTGATACGTAAGGGTTTTGTTTTTGTTTTTGTTTTTTGGTCAGTTTCAATAACTGGCAAAGATGTCCCCACTGTCTCCAACAGTCTAAATACTGAAACCACCGGACACCTACCATCACCCAAGCTCCTCAGTGGTCTCAATCTGAAGTCGATCTTTTTTTCTCTTTGAATTCTTGTTTTCATTCCCACATACTTACATCCTCGTATCATAAGCAGAACATATTTTATTGTGTTTTGTGTCAGTGCGTATTGCATCGACCGTGAGGTACACAGATACTTCTGTGTGTAAAAACTATATATATAAATTGACATTTAATTACAAATTTTTCCCTGTGACAACGTCTCGAAATATTTGCATCCTTTCTGATGGGGTTATAATTACAGTTACTAGACTGCAACAGATGCAAATAGAAAATGTAGGAATCTTGAAAAAGAATTACTGCACAGGGGTAACATTTTGTTGGAAATGCGGCTCTCTGTTTCTAGAAGAATGTTAAGAAAGCCTGGGGTTTTCCAGCCAGTTCATGTCATCTGGGGAAGAAGACTGTTTATTACTAGAGTCAGTTATGGCTAAACATCAATTCTGCTCCATTTTTCATTTTTATAAATATACATGCCAGGAAAACATATGTGTATAAATAAATTATTGAGAACTGAGAGAGTTTTGTTACAGCAATGTTACTCAATTCTTCTGTCTCCCTCTCGGCTACGTGCCAAGACTCACAGAGCAATCTATCATCAAAATTAGTTTTACTTGCCTATTAACCAACATGCCCTTTTCAGTCCTATGCTCTTGCTGCAAGGAAAGAAAAGGAGACCACCACACTTACAAAAGTTGTTGAATCAAATCATTAGGCTCAGTTATTTTCTTTCCTCATGATCTTCTTCATACCAAAACCAATAGCCCAAACTGTCCCACTATTTCATTCCCCACAGTTTTTTTTAAATATGAAATTTATTGTCAGATTGGTTTCCATACAACACCCAGCACTCATCCCAACAGATGCCCTCCCCAATGCCCATCAGCCACTTTCCTCTCCCTCCCACCCCCCATCAACCCTCAGTTTATTCTCACTTTTTAAGAGTCTCTTATGGTTTGCCTCCCTCCCTCTCTAACTTTTTTCCCCCCCTTCCCCTCCCCCATGATCTTCTGTTAAGTTTCTCAGGATCCACATAAGAGTGAAAACATATGGCATCTGCCTTTCTCTGTATGGCTTATTTCACTTA